CAGGTGGTCAGCAGCCCGGAATTGGCCTTTTGTGGGTTTACAGCCCTTCTGCAATTAAGGTTGCTAAACCATACATCCCATTCTGTGGTCTTTCAATTCCACACCTGGTACCAACTTTGATATTTTTTACTTTTGTGTTGCCATGACAAAAACCACTGGCTAAGGCAACTTATACAATAAATAGTTTTTCTGCATTTAATGTTCCAGAGGATGAGTCCAGGATGGCTTTAGAGCTTTAAAAGGCCAGCTTCTAGAATTTTCACTCAGGATTCTAAAAAAAGGTACTACGAATAAGTGAAGCAACTAAAATCTGGGTCAAAAAAGAATTGACTCACAATTGCTCCTCTACGTGCTCCTTTATTCTTCTTCTGCTTTCTTTCTCTCTTGCTGTTCTCCTTTCTGTCTCTCTCCTTCTGTTTCTCCCCAGTTCTTGGGGGTTCAGATGTATGTACATTTGCAACAGTAATTCTTTTGGCAATAAAATGGGATGCTTGACTATCTCAGGATCAGCAGGGCAGATAAAATTTACACACAGAGCAATAAACTAAAAATGCTAGGAGAAATTTTTAGCATCACTTGCTTAGGGCTGCAGGTCAAAGAGAGGGTCTAAGGTTAATTTGCAAAAAACAAAAGCAAAAAAAACCCAACAAAAGAAAACCTGTTGCCTTCCAGTGCTCTGGCCTCAGTGGCTGCACAGGCCTTCAGGATGGTTTACTTTTCCCTGGGGATGAGCAAATGGGCTGATTACCTTTGTCTTTACCATCTCAGGGGAAGCAGGAGGAAGCAGTAAATATCTGAACTAAAATCTTGAGTTAATGGAACAAGGCATTTGAGAATCTTTTAGTCCAGGGTTAGTTTAGGTTATCACTTCTCTATCAGCCAGTGAGGTTGACTTAGGGCATGCTTATTTTTTTCTATCCATCTAGGTAGTTGTGAAACAACAACTTTGATGGTATAGTAATTCTGTGTCCTTGGATATCTGGGAATGTCTTAGATGGGATGCTTTGCCTGGGCTGTAAACACTGACCAAATGCTTGTCAATAAAGGTAATTGCAGGAAGGCAGATCTCTGCAATTGCAATGGAGACGAGTGAGGGGGCAGTGGAGGGCAGGGGGTGGAGGGGAAGGACCTGATAGTAGGAAACAGGTCTCACACATAGTTAAGGAATCTAATCCGTAAACTACGATCTGCTAATGGAGAACAGGTTTTACACATAGCTAGGAAGTGTAACCAGTAAACTCCAAATGTATGGGGGAATTTGTTTCCAGTAAATGATCAGATAGTACTAAACTATGGGAAGTAAATCCCAAATTTGTTACAGAAAGGGATATGCTACAGGAAAAAACTACAGCAAGAAACAGCCAACTCTCCCATGTCCTCCTCTCCCCTCCTCTTTCCTCCCTCTCTCCCATCTCCTTCTGCCTTCCCCTTCCCCCCCCCCCAATCCAATTAGGAGATCTCGTCCCATAACCCTTCTCTGGGTTATGATGCATATCTATCTTAGGGTCCTGCCTGCACCCCAGACTCTCAGGCAGTGGGATTGTAGGCTGGCAATGCCCTGCTCCAGGTCAAAAATCCATATATGAGTGAGTACATACCATGTTTGTCTTTTTGTGACTGGGTTACCTCACTCAGGATGGTTTCTTCTAGTGCCATCCATTTGCCTGCAAATTTCACGATTCCATTTTTTTTCTGCTGAGTAGTACTCTGTAAAGAGAAAGCCTTCCTGCCAGCCTGGTTCTAGAGCTGCATCAGTCCTAAATAACACACAGGAGGCTATATTAATTATGAAGCTGTTGGCCTTGCTTGTTTCTTACTGGCTAGCTCTGACTTAAGTAATTACCCCATAATTGTTAATCTAAGTATTTCTTTTACCAGAGAACTTTCCGGGCTTCCTACCCCATGGTGTTACATCTTGACTCTCTGTTTTTCTCCTTCCCAGAGTCCTCCTGGACTCCTAGTCCCATCTATCTTGGTTCCCTATTGGCCAACAGTGCTTTATTGAGATATACACAGGAATTCCCCCATCATCTCCTCTTTTCTGTTTAAACAAAAGAAAGGTCTTAACTTTAACATAGTCAAATTATATATAACAGAACAGTTATCAAGTAAGAACATAGTTACAATATTTTAGCAAGATTTAAAGAAAATATCATCCATCCCATTCTTGTGAGTCCAAAGTTCTATATGTAGCTTATCTTTTATCATAACTAAGGAAAACTATAACTATAACTATCTGTCTTTAACTCCATCAAAGACCACAGAAGGATAATATATAAACACTAGGATTGACAGACACATCTCGCTACCTGGACAGTCACCTGAAGTTCTTTTGTAACGTTGGGGCATCCATCTTCAGCCCATAGGCCACAATGTGTCTGGAAGACTTCTCAGCAAAGCAGGAAATTTCAAACTGTCCATCTGCATTGGCAGTCTGTCAGTCATTTTTCTGTGTCCTGCAGAAAGTCTCATAGACTCTTCCATGAATCAGGAACCCTGTAGCACTGTTTGAGTTCAGTAGTCACTTTCCTATGAGTCCTTTATGTCCAGTTTATACAGCAATAGTCCAACAGTCTAGGCAAGAGCAATTTCTTGCCCAAATGGCTAATCTTGCCATGTTGAAAGAAACTCCATAACGAGTTTCTTCGATGCCCATCTTCCTCTCAGACGTAATTGGTGATGCCAGGAGCAGACATTTCCCATTGTCAAGAAAACCCTAAAACATTTTAAATGCCATTTTCTGAAGGTCTTTGAAAGGTTTGAAGACTACCTATCTCAAATACATTTCTATATATCTAGAAAACCTAACTTACCTAATTATAAGTTTTGACTATTATAAGTAACTATAGTCTGTATTTAATTATGCATTACATTTTAAAAGAACAGTATAAGCACAATACTTAACCAAGAGGAGAAATATACATATCACAAAATTGACCTTGAATTTGTCTCAATATATGAAAAACCATACCAATACAAAGTATTCATTTCCATACCATAATCCCCTTTTTCTTTTAAAAAGAAATTGGTTGTGATCATTAACCAATTATAAGCAACCCCATTTAAATGAAAACAAAGATTTATAAACATGATGGGAATTAGGACGTCGCTCATTCCAAACTGCTTCGTGCTGGAAGGGGGCACTGTTCATACCATGGGGATCATGACAAAACTCAGAAACCTGTATAAGTCCTTAGTTTCAGGGTCTGTAAGACTGCATCATCTTAGCTGTTTTAGATGTTGAATCACTTGGGCCATTGCTTCCGGGGGGTCTTGGTTCATCAAACCACAGAAGCCTGGAAGGAATCTTCAGCTTTTTATTTTCTATAGGAACATAAACAATAACTCCTTTCCAAAGTAACATATCCTTATACTTAAATTTTGAAGTCAAGGCATTTTCAAAAGATATAAGTTGAATTAAAATTTAGCAGCATTTATAATCAAGTGTACTTTAGCAGTTGTTCCTGAGCAATCAAAAAACTGAAAAACACAATAGTGTACAGTATCCAGACTCTCTGTGTATTTTCCATCTATACGTGGCTTATTTATTTATCTATTATTACTTTATTTATTTTACTTTTATTTACTTTTCTCTGAGACAGGGTTTCTCTTTGGAAATCCACCTGCCTCTGCAGCAAATCCTACCGGCATGCGCCACCACAGCCGGCTTCTCTATTTATTTACCACTATGTCGTTTCTTTTTCTCTCTCAACCTTACGTGTATTTTTAAACACACTGTAAACCTGTAGAGGTTTTTCTTCATCAAAGTCTGACTTTACTGTAAATATGTTTTTCTGGCCATGTGTCTTATCTGTTAAAACCTCGGCTGTTTAAACTGCAGTTTTTCCAAGATTGGCGGGCGTAAGCGTGATTCCAGCTCACCGTCACAGTCTATGCTTGGGGATGTAGTCACTGCCACTTCCAGCTGTACATACACACCTTTTAATTGTTAGCAGAGCCTCTTAAAACAACCTTGCTTTTTCTTTATGCTGAATCAGGAAGACTCCCTTAAGCAAGCCACATGAGTCTCTGCTTGTTGCTAGCAAAATAGAGCCCACCTGAGAAAATGCTGTTACCAAGAAGCTGTGCTTCTCTCCATTCTTTTGTTCCTAAAATTCCTTTAAAGCTTTTGTCATTTTATGTGGAAATTCAATCCCGCTTCTGATCATGTAAAGAGAAAAGCCTTCCTGCCAGCCTGGTTCTAGAGCCGCATCAGTCCCAAATAACACACAGGAGGCTATATTAATTATGAAGCTGTTGGCCTTGCTTGTTTCTTACTGGCTAGCTCTGACTTAAGTAATTACCCCATAATTGTTAATCTAAGTATTTCTCTTACCAGAGAACCCCCCCCACTGAACCTGGGTGTCAGAGAGGAGGCCTTAGCAATCTGTGGCACCTTGGAGAGTAGAGCAGAATTTATTCCTGGCACACAGAAGGACTGTGGGAACTCATTTCACATGGAGGGATGCTCTCTCAGTCTGGACACATAGGGGAGGACCTAGGCCCTGCCAGGGATGATGTGACAGACTCTGAAAATCCCTCACAGAAACCCTTGCTCTCCCTGGGGGAGCAGAGGGGGGATGGAGTGGGGGTGAGGGATTGGGAGGATTTGGGGATATGGGGAGGAGGGGAGGGAGAGGGAACTGAGAGTGGCATGTGTAAAAAAAATTTTTAAATATGAAAAAGGAACTGGCCAACTCATTCACAAGACTGTAACGACAAATGCAACTTTTGTACTGATTCATTCATCAGGAGAACCCTTAGTCCTTCTGAGCTTCTCATGGCTGTGTAATGGCTGTGTGATCTTTCAGCCTGCAGCACAGAGCGCAGGCATGGTGGCAGGAGAAGTAAGCCAAGAGCTCACGTCTCCAATCACAAGAACAAGAGGAGAGAGTTGCTTTGCGGCAGCACTCGTCCTGGGAGACACAGCACACGGGTATACTCTCACTCTAAATAGGGAGCCCACAGCAGACCAAAGTGTGGATACCACCAAAGTCCAATTTGGTGAACCAATGAGTTTTATTAAGGGTACTTACAGATTCGGGAATTACTCAAAGATATCTGCTTCGTCAAATTTCACCCCAAAATTGGTGTTACCTCACAAAGGGCACATTGCACAACCTTCAGGGCAACTAAACAGGTTGGAGAATGTCCTTTCCAAGTGAATCTAGTCAAAATCTCTTCTAGGCAGTTCAGTTGTTTTTTTATTCTTCAGGCAGCTGGTCTGGTCTCAGATTCTTCTTTGCAGTTTACTTTGTCTAAGAATCACTCTGAACAGCTCTTCTTGTTAACTCTTAGGAAGAAGGGACCTAGTGAATCTGGTCAGTTTCAGGGCCATCCAGTGGCTATTTTGAGTTTGTTTGCCTTTCGTCTTAAGAGTCCCTGCAGGATATAATAGTTCAACCTTGAAGGAAGTGGATATACAAGAGTGACCTAGAAATGATGAGAGTCTTTAAACTTTCAAAGTCTACCCCAGTCACGCAATTTCTCTGACAAGACCACATTCTCCTAAGTCTCCCCAAACACCATCACCAAATGAGGATCAAGCATCCAAATGCTGGAGCATATGGAGATTGCCTCATTCAAGCCAACATACTGTCCCAATTAAATGGGTGTAGAGTTCTCTTCACAGCTCTCTCCGGCATGTCCCCTACACCCAAATATGTTTTTCTCTTCAGGGTACCCAACAGTGCTCACACACTTGGGCCACAAATTTTCTTCCATGATTTCCATTGCTTGTTGGACTCATCTCCAAGTCTCTACCACAGTAAAAGATGACCTGTGGCTCACTTCCCCGCTGAACTGTGAGGGCTTCTCTGGCTGTATCGAGCCTCAAAGAGTAAAATCCCGAGAGCCACCAGAACCAAGCCAGCCACAGCCATCCTAATAAGATTCTCTACTGTGTGATCCTGTGAGTATGAATCTGCAAATTTAGACAAACAGGACAACAAAATCAGTACAGTCCCAGACTGAAAAACAAGTAGAATAGATAACTGTATTAATAAGAGACAGCAGATTTTAATGTATATTTGTTATTTAGTAAATATAAGGCCATGAACATCCTTATGTTCCAAATATTAAATTAGTTGAATTAATTGATATTTCTATGAGTATAAACAACTTTTATCAACAATTTTAAAATATTTTATATATTATTGATATACGGTATATTTATAAATGATATACAACATTGGCTGAAAACATAGCTCAGTCACTAAAGTTATTACTGCACAATCATGACAAATAGACTACTTGGGTTAAAGGTTTAAGTAGAGATAGAGGTTGTAAAAAAAGCTGTGGATCAGTGTCTATCCCTGGAATACAGTCTTCGTGTGCCTATAGCACAAACAGGGATGCTCTCTCAGCCTGGACTCTTAGGGGAGTGCATGGACCCTACCCAGAGTGAAATGACAGACTCTAGATATCCCCTATGTGGAAGGATTTAGCAATAGGGTGGGAGGGTGGAGGGGAAGGGGAGTGTGGGAGGAGGGGAGGGAGAGGGAACTGGGATTGACATGTAAAACAAGCTATTTAAAATTAAAATTAAAAAATGATTAAAAAAAAGATGGTAAGGGGTAGGTTAACCAAAACTAAGGATATATTAAGACAACCTAATGAAACCCATTAATTCATATATATTTAAAAGGGAATTTAAACAGAAGCATCCTACATAGGTTGACAATGTTGCTTCCAGAAAGTATGGGTTATTAAGTGAAAATACTATTGCCAGACACAGAATACCTCCTTATGTGTTATTGGTTAGGGACACCCAAGAAGTACCCAAAACAACACAAGAGCCATTGTTCTTAGTTGTCTATTATAACCAGATTGTGTGTACCTCTTGCTAAAGATACCACTCATTTGGGTAGCATTATATGGAGAAAGCAACCTCAAACTGACTAGGAGTCTGTCTCCCTCCTGGTTAGCTTTGACACTGCCATAAAGTGTTATGCAGGCTGCATGGTAAGAAATGACATCCATGGTATGTCTTATCTAGCTCTAGCCCCTGTATGATATAACTTCTAATTGTCCTCTTTGGTAGGATTGCCTATTGTTATAGTATTGGTATGGCAGTTACATATGTAACCAGCTTTCTAATTGGACATATGGTCTGATCCACACGAAGGATTCATTCATGGTACTGTAAGCATAGACAAAGAACCGTGACTAGGGAGATCATAGGCCCTATGTGTGGGGAACTCACCTGCTATTTTTCTAAATGGTTATACTGTCAAATTTCATTCTAAGTGTATATATTTATACCCACAGATTTGTACTTCTCTCAACTTTGGTGAGAGACACATCTTTCTTCAGTGACTAATGTAGAGACTTCTAACTGGTCAAAATGTCAATTTTCACTGTGAGTGCCCATCTTTGGAAGCAACATTAATATCAACCTCCTTACGGTCAAGGCTCAAGGAACATCATGGAAGAGGAAGGTGGAAGGAGTATAGGAACAAGAAGACAGCAAAAATAGCTGTGTAATGTTGAGTCTGTTATTGCAGCAGCTGTTGCAAATATCAACCCACAAAAGCTGTAGCTACCTACATGAGACCTGTACAGCATTAATCGAGTCAAGAATCCAGCATATATGAGGAAAGGACCCTCAAAACTTCACCCCTAGCTGAGGATCTGTTGGCATTGATGGCTGCTGGGTGTGAGAGAGACAGTTTCCTTTGCATATGTAACCACTGATGGGTTGGCCAAGCCCACACACACACACACACACATATGCATGCACACACGCATGTGTAAGTATGTATGTATGTATACACATATATGGGATTTTAATTGTAATTTTTAAAAGAGGATATTAAATTAGAATGGAGGTCAGATGGAGAAACTAGGGCGAGTTGGAAGGAGGTCGTACAAGAATAATATGATCAAAATACACTTTATAAATGCATGGAAGTTTCAAGAATAAGCAAGACCACAAAGAGCAAGCCAGACAAAATTTTGGCACAGATGAGCAAATCATGTCTAGGTAGCCCTTGCCTTACTACTGAGAAGTTATTGAAAGTTGGTAAATAATAGGGGGTGGAGAATCATTCTCTTTTGAACATGTGGCCAGTAGTAGATTTTCCTGTGCTCTAGTAGACCTATAACTATGCACTCATGGACAGCACTAATTAGCCTAGGGGGTTATGATAAAGACATAGAGTTGGGAGTGGGATGTATGAGGGAAGCTGGAAGGGCAAAGTATGGGAGTAAATGTCACATTTCACTCTATACACAAATGAAAACCTAAAATAAATAAATAGATTCAAATATTATTTTAAAATGTCCCTGCAAAACAAAGAATATATGTAGAAACAAAAAATGTGTGTGCTAGTTACTCAAATTAATTCCAGCACTGGGGAGGAAGATACAAGCAAATTCCTGGTGCTCCCTGGCTAACCAGCCTCGCCTACTTTGTCAAGCTGCATACGAGGTGAGACTCTGTTTCTAAAACCGAGGTGTGTGACTCCTGTGAGTCCACATCAGGCATGCCTCGCCTGCCTCTTTTCTCACTCGTTTATACTTCTAAAACTCCTGTCTTTCTGCCTCCCATCTTTCCTGAGACCTCGCCCTTCATCCTAGTCATGACCACATGGGCTCCCAGCGTGGTCTTTGAAGAGCATGAGTCTCCTATAAGACCACGGTTCCTCAGCTGGGTTCAGGATATCCTGAGACCATGGGGGACACAGTATATGTATAGCTTGCATACTGACTGATGTGGAAGCTGCATGCGGGGACCAGTGTGACATCAGGGGAAAGCTAAGCTTGGGCTTCTGGGGAGCGCAGGATGGGGTGTACCGTTTCCCTTCATTGGACAGAATGAATCTATCACAGCAAGTGTCACCATGACATTAGGGGGCCAGAGTCTCTCTAAGTTCCCAGACATGGACCCGCTAGGTCAAAATGAAGGGTTTCCTGGAGAAGCCTCTCAAAGAGAAGACGGGCCAGGTATTAAGGGTATAGTTCATGCCAAACACCTTCCTCTTCTGCCATCTTTTCTCGCAGGTCTTGCTGTGTCTCTACATCAGGACCCCTGAGCATCCTTTGACTGTCTCTCAGCTTTATTGAATGCCTCTGGAAATGGGCTCATGCCAAGAATTGATGGGCTTCAAATAAATGTCAAAAATGGGATTGCCTCACCTGAAAAGAGTAGCTGCAGGGTCTCGCTGGGTACTGACCACATCTGGGAGGTTCTCTTGTAGTAGCCATAGCACCTGAAGGCCCATCTGTGTTTGGAAGTCACTGGTCCCACAGGAAACAGGGCCAGAAAATGTCCGTTGTGTTGTTTCTGTGAGTCCTGAGTCCAGGACACATTCTTCTCTCCTTCCTTGGTAAGGATGTATCTTCCATATCCCTGATGTGAGCTACACTGGAGGGTGACATTCCCTCCTGAGGTCACCAGGGAGCTTGGCAGGGCTGAGATATTGGGTTTACTGTAGTATCCTAAAAGAGAAGACAAGCACATTATGTTGGGTGGGGAACACCTTCCACAATGTCTAAATTGGGTTGTGAGAAGGAGATGCCCTGAGAGAAAAATCCCTTACTCAGGGCATAACCTGAGTTTGGGACCCTTGAGAATCCTCTTACCTGTCACCACAAGCTCTAGGAAGTCACTGTGTTCTGACCAGCCAGCAGAGCTGTGGTAATTGCAGTGGTATAGTCCTGCATCATACTCTGTCATGAATGGGATGGAGAAGTTAGCCTTGTTCCCAGGCTTGAGTAAGCTCTGTGTCTTCAAGGGCTTTGAACTTTTCTCTTTATACAGATAGTACTCCTGAGCTTCCGGGGTCCCAAGACACCAGATAGTAACAGCCTGTCCCTTGGTAACCACAGAGTCTGGCTCAGCCCAAATGGTAGGTATGGGGAATTTTCCTGTAAAAAAAAAATCAAATGCTGTGTCCCAGGGTATTCCTTTCTTATATTCTACACCTGAGCCCCAGGATTCTTGAAGAGTCCCCAGAATTAACCCATGTCTGCTGTTGTCTATATGTAGCACACAGGAGGGGTCTTCTGATGTCAGTGTAGAAACAGCATCTGGTAAGGTGGGGGGGGGCAATGACTCACCTGCCACCGCTGTGGTCCTCGTTTCCACACTCAGCCCTGAAAGAGATTTCTTTATGAGATTGTCTTCTTGAAGCTTGAGGAAATCCTCTCCTCTACAAAACTTCCAAAGACCATGGGTTTTTCCTGAAAAGCCAGAACTTATCCATGACCTGAGATTCCGCTCAGACTTGGGTATTCCCTCCACCCTTCAAATCTCACCAAGATGAAGCAGCACTACGAAAGTGGAGATCATGACGCATCCTTCCAGGGGTCCCAGTTGTGCAGTTTGATGAGACTACAGTGGCTGTTGGGACAGACCAACCCAAAGGGTGAACACTGAAGACACTGTGCTCTTTGTCATGAGCGGTTGCATCAAGAAGAGGAAGTCCTATGCAACCGCACACCGATGGAACGCTTACGTAGCAAGAGCGGAGCCCTGGATTGCGTATTCAGCATTGGAGATGAAAATAAGGGGGGAAGTTTCCTCCTCAAGAGTGAGTATGCTATTTTAACAAGGCTGTGGCTAAGTCGGGCATGATGCGTACCAATGGCATAAGAAAGAGTAACAGGGCCTTACCCTTTTCCAGTTCACTTCCTCTCCAAGTCCAGTAAATAGCTTCAAATAGACCTTTTTCTGAGAAATGACTCCCAGGTGACTGTGACTGAGGACTAAGAGGCACCACATAGGATTTTCTCTCCATCCTGTCCACATCTACAATACCATGAGGCCTTTACCATCCTCGTTCATATCTCTAACTCTGAAGATACGTGGGGGAATATGCAAACTGATGTTTCAAGGTGGGTCAAAAGCAGCAGAGAAACACCAAGTGCCTGTATTTGTGGCTCATGTGGAGCTGATTTTGAGAGTGCAGGGTTTTTACACGCTAGATTGTGTCATCTCTCCCAGAAACCTTGTAAATGTAAGAATTGTTCTTCCGCTATCCATACAATCAATCATTTTCCCCCTTAGCCCTCACCACGTGAGTGTCAGTACCAGACATAAGACTCCTTGCTAACGCCTACAAGTTCCTTCCTTGGATTCACAGATATCACAAGGATGAAGATAGGCACTGTGAATGTGGGGAAACCTTCTGTAGCTTTTTATAACACTAGGAGACAGAAAAAAAAAGAGAAGTTAACACTTACTAAAAATTTAAATGAAGTGAGTCCTTGGGATGCCAGACCGTTAGAGAAGGAAAGGAGCCTGGCATGAAGATATGACAGGGATAACTTCAATGCGGTTACTCAGTAAAGAGGATCAACTGTTTTGAGAAGTGAAACTCATACAAGGTTCTGGGGCCCCATCTCATGCTCGCAAAAATGCACGTATTCTGAAGTTTCAGTTAAGGAAATAGGAAATCCTAAAATTTTTAATGAGTTCTTTGAGAATTTCATATAGTATGTTTTGATTTTATCCACCCCTCTCCCAACTCTTCCTGGATCCAGCTCCTTACCTGCATGACAAATTTTGTGTACTTTTTCTGTTTTGTTTTGTTTTGTTAAATCCATCAAGTCCAATTTAGTCTTGGATGTGTGGTCTTCCAATGAAGCATGATTGATGCCCCAGAGGCTACATCTTTCCGCCCTTTCTCAGCAGCTATCATTTACCAATAACTCCATAGATATGGATGAAAAATTGTGTCATTCTCCCATCTCTATGCCAGGATTTGGTCTCGTTTGGCCTTGCACAATTCTTTGTATGTGTGTTCGCAACTGCTGTGAGTTCGTGTGTGAAGCTGCCACACTGTGTCCAGAAGACACTGTCTCCTTATAGACACCCACAATCTACGGCTTTTACACTCCTCTCCTCTTCCACATATATCTCTGAGCCCTGATAGGAAGGGAATGTGATATGAGCATGCCATTCACAGTTGAGCATTCCTCACTGTCTTATTTTCTGAACCTAGGCTAATTGTGGATCTCAGAGCTAACCATCATCTACTGCATAAATATCTTCTGTAGTGAGGATTTAGAGATGCACTAGCCTATGTGCATAACGGTAAGTCATTTTTAAAAATCAGTTTAATAGTATGTCCGTTTAGAAGAATAATGGAAGTAATGTTTTTTCCCTTAGGGCCAATGATCTGTTGTTTAACCATAGGCTCCAGGCCCCAGTACTAGTGCTAAGTGTAAGTTCTGCATTGTGTCTTTTGTACCACACTTGAGTCTTTCCTGGACATTCACTATTGTAGTTTGTAGAGCTCACAACTGGATAAGTTTGGCAATTACCTTTCTCTCTCGGCAGGAAGCATCTTGCTCTACATAACTGTGATAGTCAGGCAGTAGAGGTGAAGCTTCTGGGTTGATGGCAAATTTCTGTGTCTCCAGCAGTAGGGTCTTGTTATTAAGTTTTGGAGTGCAAGCAAAAGCACTGGAAAACAGCATCTTGGAGATCTATAGAATCTCACTGGTCAACAGCTCCAAAGAGGTAACCCATTCTGAGCATCAGACTTTTTTATTTGTTATTGGGTGGTGTCTAAGAGGGACAATATTTCAATATTATAGGGTAACTCCATCACAAATTATTTTTCTGTCTGTCTGGAAGCTTCTACAGTAGTGGGTTTCCTATAACTGTTTAAATGGTCATTAGAGGCCTACAGAACACCAAACATGCAAAAATGGAAAAGAAATTACTCTTGACTAATATTATAGTTAAGACATCAAAAAAGCAAAAATAAAGGGAGAGTATTACAAGCTGCAAAGGAGAACAGTTGTATTAGTTAGGAGTTGCTCAGTCCATGAGGGTGGAGGTCTCAGCTGGAATACCAAGGATGTAAGCTCCAATGCCAGTAAAGGAATGGACTTCACAGCTTCTGAGGCAAGCTGACAAAAAGAAATAGCTTCCTTCTTCCATGTTCTTTATACAGGCTGCCATAAAAAGTTGTTGCCCAGATCAAAGGTAAATCTTAACAACCCAAAAGATCTAGATTAAAGCTGTATCTCTCCACCAGGAGAGATCCAGATTAAAAGTGTGCCTTCTCGTGTCAAAGGATTTAACTGAAGGGGGAAAAAAATCCTTCACAGGTCTACCCAATCACTTGGGCTTTGGTTAATTACCAATGTAGCCAAGTTGACCACCAAGAATAGCCATCAGAAATGTCAAGTCACTTACAAAGAGAGGTCATTAGAAACTGGATTATTTGACAGAAATATTTAAATCAGAAGTGCCTGGAGAAATATAATCCAAGTCCTGAAAGACTACAACTATCAGTCCCAATTTTTCTACCCAGCAACATTATATATTAAATTGAAGTGATTGCTAATTGTTAACCAAAGAAATATATGGATATGTTGCTGTTTTAAGTTCACCATTTGGTGGATCAAAGACCTCAACATAAATCCAGCCACACTGAACCTGTTAGAAGAGAAAGTGGGAGGCACCCTTGAATGAATTGGTACAGGAGACAGCGTCCTGAACATAACTCCAGTAGCACAGACACTGAGATCAGCAATTAATAAATGGGACCTCCTGAAACTAAGAAGCTTCTATAAGGCAAATGACATAGCCAGCAAAACAAAAAGGCACTCCACAGATTGGGAAAAGATATTCACTAACTCCACATCTGACAGAGGGCTAATCACCAAAATTTACAAAGAACTCAAGAAGCAAGTCTCCAAAACACCAAAGGATCCAATTTAAAAATGGGGTATAGGCTGGGCGGTGGTGACACACACCTTTAATCCCAGCACTCGGGAGGCAGAGGCAGGCAGATCTCTGTGAGTTTGAGGCCGGGCTGGACCAACAGCCTCCAAAACAATACAGAGAAACCCTGTCTCGTAAAACCAAAAAAAAAGGGGGGGTATAAATTCTCAATAGAGGAGACCAAAATGGCTGAGAGACACTTGAGAAAGTGCTCAACATCCCTAGCCATCTGGGAAATCCAAATCAAAACAACTCTGACATGCCATCTCACTCCTGTCAGAATGGCTAAAATCAAGAACACCAATGACAGTTTATGCTGGAGAGGATTCGGGGTGAGGGAAACATTCCTCCACTGCTGGTAGGAGTCCCAACTTGCACAGCCACTATGGAAATCAGTATGGAGATTCCTCAGGAAAATGGGAATCAGTCTACCACAAGACCCAGCAATTCCACTCTTAGCCATATACCCAAAGATGCACATTCATACAACAAGGACATCTGCTCCACTATGTTCACAGCATTATTATTTGTAATAGCCAGAACCTGGAAGCAACTTAGATGCTCCTCAACTGAAGAGTGGATAGAGAAAATGTGGTACATTTACACAATGGAGTACTATTCAGCAGAAAAAAAAACAATGGAATCTTGAAATTTGCAGGCAAATGGATGGCACTAAAAGAAACCATCCTGGGTGAGGTAACTCAGGCACAAAAAGAGAAACATGGTATGTACTCACTCATTTATGGATTTTAGACATGAATCAGGGGAGTGCCAGCATACAATTCCACTGCCAGAGAGTCTAGGAAATAGAACCTTCATCCAGCGACTGATGAAAGCAGAGGCAGACACCCACAGACAAACACTGAACTGAACTCCTGAAATCCAGTGTCAGAAAGAGAGAACTGATGGGCAAAGTAAAGAGTGGGTGGTTCAACCCGCAGAAACAGTTGACCTGAACAAGGGGGAGCTCTTGGACCCCAGATTGATGGCTGTGTGGAAAGCATGGGACTGACCCAGACCCCCTGTATGTGGGTGTCAGTGAGGAGGCCTAGGTAATCTATGGGGCCTCGGGTAGTATTTATCCCTGGCGTACAAAGAGACTTTGAGTGCCCATGCCACAATATGGGAGGATCTCTCAGCTGGGACTCTTGCCAGAGGGCCTAGGCCCTGCCCTGGATGAAATGACAGGTTACTGGAGATCCAACATGGAGGGCCTCACCCTCCTTGGTGATCAGAGTGGAGGTTGGGTGGGGGACTGGGGTCCCTGGTGGGGAATGTGGGGGAGGAGGGGAGGAAGAGAGAGCTAGGATTGACATGTGAAACAAGATTGTTTCTAACCTAAAGAAAAAAAATTTTTAAAAGATCACCATTTAGTTAGTAATGGATGTAAAAAATAGAAAACTATGACAAAATCCGTAATGATCTGATCTGCATGGTGAGCCCATTAGTATTCTTTTTTTTATTAGAAACAAGCTTGTTTTACATGTGAATCACAGTTACCTCTCCTTCCTTTCCTCCCCTGCCCTCCACCAACCCCCTATCCCATGCCCTTTCTGCTCCCCCAGGGAGGGTGAGGCCTTCCATGGGGAATCTTCAAAGTCTGTCACATCTTTTGGAGCAGGGCCTAGACCCTCCCCATGTGTCTAGGCTGAGAGAGTATCCCTCTGTGTGGAGTGGGCTCCCAAAGTCCAGTCGTGTACTAAGGATAAATACTGATCCACTACTAGAGGCTCCACAGATTAACCAGACCTCCAAACTAACATCTGCATTTAGGGGGTCTGGGACAGTCCTATGCTGGTTTCCCAGC